ATATTGTTTTGAAATGGATATTAAGCAAACTGATCAATTTGGATACTCTGTTTTGAGAAGACTAAGCAAGCCGAAACATTATTTTAAAGCAAACTGACATTATCCCATAAAACTATATTTAATCAAAGAAGGTTAGGAATATATGTTGGTTTTGAATCGCCCTCCATTATTCGCTACCTCGAAATATTGACGGGGGATATGTTTACTGCACGATTTGCAGACTGTCGATTCGATGAGACTTTCTTCCCAAAATTAGGGGGAGAAGTTGGTGAAACCAAACGGGAAATTTTATGAAAAAATCCATCATTATCTCATCTTGATCCACGTGCCTCTATTTGTGAAAAAGAGGTGCAAAAGATTATCCATTTGCAGAGAGTAGCAAATCAAATGCCAGACGCATTTACGGATTTGAAAAGGATAACAAAATCACATATTTCTGCAGAGAATGTTCCAATCCGTATTGATGTCCCTATTGGACAATCTTCTAGTGTCATAGCTAATGAGTCAAAAGCACGCCTAAAACGTGGCAGACCATTAGGTTCCGAAGATCGAAATCCTAGAAAAAGGAAAACAAATTATCAAAATGACACTACGAAAGAATCTCATGAAGAAATCCACGATTTAATAAATTCTGAGATTCATTAGGAATCCCTATAACACAATTATTTTTTATTTTTCTTATTGCCATACAATTCGTTTTTAAGGAATAAAAGATTATACCACTTAAGACTTTAGGTTAAAAAATGATTCATCAATTCTGAATTATATTTAAGCACCATTATTTATTACTCTATATAAAGAAGCTCCCCTTCAGGGGAAAGGATTCAGTTCAGTATTTAATGGTCCATTAAATCTCGATGCTATCGTGGATAAAAACCATCTGGCTGCTTAGAGTTTTAATGGTTTAGATGCATTTGAATTTTGTGACAATATGTTTTTTTAGCTAATACACCTTTTGGGTTCTTTCACAAAAAATAAATAAACAGTAGATTGGGGACTGTAAAGTTAGTACGTCATTTTACTCATTTGTTTCAATGACAGAAGATAAATAAAATAACATATGATTGGAACAATTTTGAAAATCAAAAAAGTGGAGTATGTATATTTTTCTTCTAATAGTTGTGTTATCGATTTTTTTTTCTTTCTCAACATTCTTGGTTGTTTACTCTTTTTAGGTTCGCTGAAAATTAATGCACATAGTTTTTCTATAGAAATAATGTTAAGGTATAAATCTGTCAATTTTTGTTTTTAAAAAAATTGTGAAAGGTTCAAACAAATCCATACTATTGAAACTCTAAGCAACTAGGTGGCTTTTATTCGTGGCACCATTGAAATTTACTGGACCATTAAGTACTAGACTGGATCCTTCTAGACTGGATCCTTTCCCCCCTCGAGACTCCAGCCACATATATCAAGCAACTTTTCGAGGTGTGATTCCTACTTTTCTTTTTTGATTTAACTTTTTTAAGGTATGCTATATATTACTTGTTGATCATCTGACCCCATATATATATATATATATATATATATATATATATATATAGGAGAGGCAAAGAAATATTATAATGACAAGTGTCATAATTTCTATTAACAATATAATTATACTAAATATTGAATAATATAATAAATAAAAATACATAACGAAAAAATTATTTGATGACTATATAAGTCCCTTTAATTTAATGGAGATTTTATTTATTAAAATTTAGACAATATCTATTCTATTTATATAGAATAGGATAATCAAATAATTGTGATAATTCCAAATGTAACATCGAAATATTAACAAAGTGACAAATATTTTTTTAATATTGACCGCGCATCGCGCGAGTACGACTACTAGTTTATTTAAAGTTAGAACATGTTGTGAATTCTGATGGCTTGTAAATAGTCTAATACTTGAACTGTATAAATAAAGTGCCATGTGTTATGTGGTATGAATTACATATGAAGGTTATCCATAATTCAAAATAGTCAAATTGAAAATATAATTCCGATTAGTGAAGCGCAACCATTATTCTTCCTAATTAACTCGCAAAGAGATATTTTCCCTATCACTGTACTTGCGATCTTGGATTCTTCGAGCTTTTAGTTTCTATGTTTTAATTTGTCTTGAAGTTTGCAATAGTATTGTTATTATATTGCATTTAAAATTTTTGATAGATGTAATATTTAGCCACTTAGGCATCAGCTTGGTGGGAGCCGGATAATTATGCATAAATTTTGAGTGAGTGCGACTATTAGGTATAAACTTTGAGATTCGTATGAAATGGCTGGAAGTATAATTTATCATTAGCTTGAATGATAACATAACAAAAGGATCACAAAGATCATAAAGATCATAATCATGTGTTTCCACAAAAATTTTTGTCGAGCAAGTCTTTTTACACCAAAAGATCTGATAATATTTTTAGAATGCACTATTGGTTAAAATTATTATTTAATTATTTTTTCAATATTTTAGATCTTGGTATTAATCAAAATTTTAGCTATTAATCTCTCTCGCCATTTGAATTATGCAAAAACATTTAATATTTAAAAATTTAAAATTGAGTAAGATTTTACGTATTTAAATATTTTGCTTGTCGTCATAATTTTGAATCTTATTTCGGTAATGCCTACAAGTACAAATAAATTTTATACAACATACATAATTATTAATTTAATAGATATCTCCATAATAAAATTTCAAAAATTTAAAAATGTGTTATTGGTAGTAATGAGTGCATGAACTTGGTAACTAAAAAGGAAGTATGATACTTTGATTGGTGAAATTGAAATGATGAAATTATAAAATTAAAAAAATTAAGTTGGATAATAACTGATGCTTGAGAAGTTCCATTTTGCCCTCCCTTTTCTTGTGAGTTAGTTGTATGGATTAATACTCACCATCTTCAAAATTTTTATTTTGTTTTATAGTTTAAACAAAGCATTTTTTTTGGTAATTCACAATATTATTAATCACCAAAGAATCAAATTACATCGTATAGTGGCTAGCTCGGCCTATACACAACTCTACCCTGTACTCCTATCCTTAACAGACTGATTTACCCAGTTTCTACACACTTATCGCTTATATCCTATAGAAATCTTTGCTGCAGGACTTCTCTAAGCTTGCCTACAGCCCATACATTACATGTGTATGCTATCTCTCTAATGATGCTCTTAGTATCTCTATGTACCTTTTCAAAAACTCTATGGTTTCTTTCATTCCATATACTATACAAAGTTTCAGCTAGAACCATTCGCAAGAGCTGCCCTTCAACAGATTTCTTCTTTGCTTTCTCCATAAACCAGGTTATTAGCTGATCCCACGTTTTTATTTGCACCTGGATATTTAGCCAGTTGAAAATTCATGCCCATAATCCAGTGGTGGTAGTACATTCCCAAAATAGATGAGCATGAGTCTCTAGATGATTTCCACAAAAAACACATATTGAATCCACGTTAATGTTCCATTTGCTTAACCTGTCAGTTGTCATCATTCTCTCCTGTATGATCAGCCACATGGAGAACAATGCTTTAGGCCTAGCTAGATTCTTGAACATGACTGTTTTCCACTCAACTTTAGGTAAGGATCCAATTTGCTGCAAGTATAGCTGCTTGATCTTACTGCATTTGCCAGTATCTCCCTGCATCTGTGTATTTGGACCAGCAACAGTCATGATCTTTTGAACCATCCAACTCGCTTGCTTTGGTACTTTAACTGTAGCTAAAGGGTGCCCTTTTATCTAGTACATATGAACCCATTTGATCCACAATCTGTCTGCCTTTGTTGCCAAGTCCCATTGCAGCTTGAAAATGGCAGCTTTGTTCTATCTTTTAAGGTTTAGGATATTTAGTCCTCCAGCACTCTTAGGTTGACAGACTTTGTCCCAAGATACTAATGCACGTTTGGTAATGACATGTGTTCCTGACCATATGAAGCTTCTACAGTAAGCATTAATAAGCTTGATCACCTTGGAGGGCATCAGGAATAATTGAGACCAATAAGATTGTACTCCAAAGAGAACAGTTCTAATAAGTTGAACTCTATCAACATATGATAACTTTCGTGCAGTCCAGGATGATATTTTAGCTACTATTTTGTCAATCTGCAATTGTGCCATCTTCATCTTTTTGATAGTAAGAGGGACCCCCAAGTACTTAAAAGGTAGTTCACCTTGTACATACCCCAGCTGTTGGATGATGATATCTTGATCTACCTTGCACACTCCACCAAAATAGACTGGACTCTTGTTGAGGTTGGCTTTTAGTACAGATGCTGTGGAGAACTGATCAAAATATTGCTTCATCATTGCAACTGAATGGTTATCACCTCTAGCAAACAATAATAGATCATCTGCAAAGCTCAAGTGAGTAATGCCCAGTTTCTTGCTCTTTGGGTGAAAATGAAATTGCTTTTCCTTCTTCAGATTAGTGAGAAGTCTGATTATATATTCCATTGCTAAAGCAAATAGAAATGGGGATATTGGATCCCCCTGCCTGAGGCTTTTAGCAGCAGGAAAGGGTCCAGTTAGTTCACCATTTATCAGGATAGAGTAACTCACACTATGCATACAGGATGATACCTACTGAGTGAATTTGTGAGGAAACCCCAGACCTTCCGTGACTTGTGTCACATAGCTCCATTCCACACTGTCATAAGCCTTTTGTAAATCAACCTTGATCATACATCTAGGTGATATATGTTTCCTTGAGTAGGCTTTAATTAGTTCATGTGCTAAAATAATATTATCAGCTCCCTTTCTCCCAGGAATGAATCCAGCCTGAGATCCATCAATCAAGTAGTCCACTACTTTCTGCAACCTTGATGCTAAGATTTTGGAGATAATCTTATACAACACAGAGCAGCAAGAAATGGGTCTGTAGTCCTTTATGGTAGTAGGATTGGTGATCTTGGGTAGTAAGGTAACTGTAGTGCAGTTAATGGCCTTAGGCATCACCCCAGTAGCAAAAAACTCCACTACTGCTTCATATACATCATCCTTGATAACTTTTCATGCTTTTTTGAAGAAGACAACATTATAATCATCAATGCCAGGAGCTTTATCATTACCAATAGCATGCATACATTCATTTACTTCATGTTTGGATATATCTTTGGTCAGTTCCACTATCTGCTGATGATTTAGTTGAGGCCCCTTTTTCAGAATTTGCATGTTAACAGCTGGAAGAGTAGTAGCTGCAGTTCCCATAAGGGCCCTATAGAAGTCCACTATCTCCTTCTTAATTCTTTTAGGGTCTGTTAGTATTTCACCATTCAGAGCTGTTAGTGTATGAATATTTTTCCTGCTTGTCCTGTCTTTCAACATTGCAAAGAAATATTTGTTGTTTCCATCTCCAACATTGATCCAGTGAGCTCTAGATTTCTGCTGCAGAATCTTCTCTTTAATACTTGACCATTTTTCTAATTGAAATATGGCCTCTTTCTCCATCATTCTTAGTTGATCTGAATAATTTCTATTCATTTCTTGTTGGTATTCAATAAGTTCTCTTCTTGCTTGGTTTATCTTTTCTATGATATTTCTGAAGTTTTTATTGTTTAAGTCCTTGAATACAGGCTTCATTGCTTTCAGCCTGTACCAAATAGTAGCTAGTTTACAAGACTTATTCTCCTTGCCATCTTTCCCTTAAAATATTCTGGAAATCGTCATGTTGTGCACAAACATTTAGAAACCTGAATGGCACTCTTATACTATTATTTCTCCTATGGAATTTTAGGGTGAGGGGTGAGTGGTCTGATATAAATGGATCTCCTATTTCAACTGTTAGGTGATCAAAATTCATCATCCATTCATCATTCCCCAAAGCTCTATCTAACCTGCTAACAACCCTGTCTTCACCCATTTGTCCATTTGTCCATGTAAAGAATTCCCCTCTCCAAGGGATTTCAATCAACATTGTGTCAGAACAAAAGTTTGCAAAATCTTGTATATCAGCTTGAGTAGGAGCAACCTTTGATACTCTATCTTGGGTAGAAATGATAGCATTAAAATCCCCCCACAACAACCATGGATAGTTAATAGTTTGTGCAAGACTTTGAAGCTTTTGCCACATCTCCTTCCTCTTCTCTAAGCTATTATACCCATATACCACAGTCATAGCACACCTGATAGAAGAGTTACTAATGATGCAGTGAATAAATTGAGCATCTGTTTGAATCACATCTACTTGCCATATATTACTGTCCACTAGTAACCATATTCTCCCATTAACTGCATGATCATAATTATGAACTAAATCCCAATTTTTGCAATCTTAGGGGCAATAACAGAAGCTTTTTGTTGTTTGATTCTAGTCTCCACTAAACCAGCTAACGGAATATGATGTTCTTTGAGGTATCTAGCCAACTCCTTCTGTTTATATCTTTGGTTTGCCCCCTCACATTCCACATGAGAATATCATTTAGAAGGACCTGATGTACCACCTCTATCTGGTGGTTGTCTACCCCCTGGACCTCCTGATAGCACTTCAAAAGTGTTCTTTGTGATAATTGAAAAATCAGTATCACCTACATTTGTTCTGGGAGTTAAAACACTATTTTTGTCTCTCAATACACTATTCTCATGCCTTTTAGCATGTGTCATGCCCTGTGCAGTATCCACTGATTTTCCAGCTATTATATTATGAAATACTGTAGGGGCAACTTGGGCTATGGGAGATACTGTTTCAGCACTATTGGAATTAGTGTTTGGTTTAGTTAGCTCCTTACTTGTGTTCTGTTGTATACTGCCTTTGCTTCTCCACTCCTTTGCTGGCTGATGAGCTTTGCCATATACTTTCTGAATATTTTGAGGTCTCCCTTGAACTTCCTCATTGCGTTTGCATATATGCCCCAGCTGTTGACAATCAGAGCAGAATTCAGGTTGCCATTCAAACCGCACCACTTGCTTGTACATCTTTCCAGAAGGATCCTGTATTGTGACTCCAGTTGGTAGTGGCTTAGTAATGTTCACTTCAATTAGCATCCTCGCAAATGAGATTCTCGACTGATTAGCTGTACATTCATCAGCAAATAGTGGCACTCCAATAGCACTTCCCAGCCTGCTTAGAGACTCTTTTCCCCAGTAAGCCATAGGTAAATTAGGAAAAGAGACCCATAGGGGAATCTCTTTGAGAAAGGCTGTATCAAATTCTACATCAAGAGACCATTTCTTCAGGATAATAGGTCGATTATTAATCGTGTAAGGCCCTCCATACAGGACTTCCTTGAGGTCATCTTCCTCTTTGAATTTGGCAATGAAATATCCTTTTTCATGCCAAAACAATTCAGACCATGAGGCTTTTGACCAATTGTGATTAATATATCTCTTCATCTGATTATAGCCTGGGATTTCTCCTAATACCGCAACAATCAGCGAATGCTTCCACTTTTCAACCTCTTTCGCAGTCTCAACTGGATCTAGTTGAATAACCACATTACCATCCACAATCGTCGGGGCTATGTAAGATAGAGCAATGCCATTGGATGCTATTCGATTGTTAGCAAACAGATTGACCCACTCCGAAGCAGTTGAGTCCTTGTTAGCCTTCAATTTCTGCAGATTTTCATCTGCATGTGTATTTGGTTGCGATTGAACCATAGGTGATACACTCGAAGTTGAAGCTATGCATGTACCCAGACTTTTGTTCTTTCCACTGTCATATTTAGGTATTCTACTGTCCAATTCAACTGATTGTGTCAAGTTAGTAGCAGAATCAATGGTACCTTTGTCAATCTCATGATTCACTCCTGGATCTGCCATTGTTGATGCTGCCTGTGGTTTCTGAGAAGCGAATTAAACTGATGGAGATGTAGTTGTTGTTAGTGAGCTTCCGATAACTAGGATTGGTGTCTTCCTTGGCCGTCCTGGTCCATTTCCTTTGCCCTTTGCCATTAACAACCACCGTTCCCGCCAAGTGTAACAGCCGCTTGAAGAAACTGTCAGTGGGGAGGAATTTTTTCTTGAAATGAACTCGTCGTTAAAAATAAAGCTTTTAATATAATATTTATGTAATTTTTTTTATAAGTATACTTATTGAGAAAATATACACGCGTAACACGTTTACTCTAAGACTAGTTGGGATAAAAAGGCAATTGGGCAAGAAGACTCTGATAGAGATTATTATATAGTTAGGATATGTGTAAACATATGATATTTTCGTTAATTTTAAATAAATCATTGGAAGTTCCATCTAGTTGAATCGAATCAACTTTTATAAACTTAAAGGATCATTTATGTTCAAGGTAATACGATAAGGATTATAATAAACTTGCCCATCAAATACAAAGAAACATTTGAGTTAAACCTCACACTTAACCTCTAATTATTTTCTTCGTTTAATCACCTGAACCAAATGGATGAGGCCCGCAATTCTTCCATGACGGGCCTCATTCTCCCTCTATATTGTGGCCCAAAAGATAGTTGACTGTTATGATTCAAATGTTCACAACCAAATAGAGAAATAAAAGATTGATATATATACTGAGCAAAGGAATTACAGTAAAAACTAAGTATAGTAACAGAAAGAAGGGGATGGGAAAGATAGAGCCACAGAGAGAAACAGACGAGGGAGAAAGACCAGAAAGAGGAGATTCCAACAACAATTTGCATAACCCTTTCCTGGTAACCGTTATCCATTTTAACTGTTCTTAATTGCACCTCATGGGCCTGGATCCCATATTAACCTTTTTGAAGGCCTTCTGCCCCTCTTGCTTCTTCTCGGCCCAATAGCTCTCGCAACCCAATATTGGGTTGGGCTGATTCATAATAATACTTCTGAATCTCACTTTATACCTATTAATTTCAAACTATTTACCCTTTAATGCCCAGGCCCAAACTATTTACTACTCCTACCCATGGTCCCCAAACTATTTACCCGCCTATTTACCCTTTAATCGGGGAGGCACATGTCAGCTTCATAAGCGAGAGAGTTGACGGCGCCTTCCCTTTGGTGAGGCTGCAATTCATTGAGCAGCTTTGTCACATTGATGGCTCCAAATATTTTGTGAACATTTGCAAATTTTTGGGGCTCACATTGCTGGCTCTAGAGCTGAAGTTTTTGTTTTTGTAACTGGCGAAGAGCTGAAGTTTTTGTTTGTAACTGGCGAACTTCAGCTCTAGAGCTGAAGTTTTTATTTTGTAACTGGCGAACTTCAGCTCTAGACCTGAAGTTTTTGTTTGTAACTGGCGAACTTCAGCTGAAGAGCTGAAGTTTTTGTTTTGTAAATGGCGAACTTCAGCTCTAGAGCTGAAGTTCTAGGGCTCTAGAGCTGAAGTTTTTGTTTGTCTTTTTTTTTTCAGATTCACAAAGCAGCATTCATTTTGCCATCTTTCGCCAGAAGTATGATTGAGTCTTAATCAAGTGAATAATGAACACTGGTGGTGCAATCATTAGACCAAGATCGAGTCTTAATCAAGTTAATAAATAAGTGAAATGAGACGTATTGTATGAAAATTCTACAGTAATTATCATAATTTCCAATTCACCAATTATTGTAAAATTCTTTCTCAGTGGTGTTTGGTACTTCAATATAAATTTTCCTGCTGAAGTTTTGAATCGACGTTCCAACTCAATCCTCACAAATCAGTTGCTTATTTTTCTTTCAGTGTACTTAGTAAACTAATTGGGATCGGCGCTTTCATAAAAGAAAGAGGTTGAGGGCGTATATAACTTTGAGGAGGAGAAGGAGGAGGAGAAAGGGGGCTGAAGTTGTTTAAAAAGTGGGTTAAGTTAAAAGTTTTAAAAAAATGGGTATAGGTTAAATGCGAGCGACCAAATAGGGCTCCCCGTGCAATTTTTACAACAACTACGGCTTCGAGCCTAATAACTATAATTTATCTAATTATCATTCGTAGCTACTGCTTAATTATTACTAACTTGTATCACTTATATTCAAACGCGCAACGAATGGTAAATTTACTGAAAGTATAGCTACAAATAGTAAATACAGTGGAAATGTTGATGTGTACCATAATTTACCCTTTGACAATTGTGTTTCCTTTATTTGGTTAGTCAATCAATTAAATAGAATGAAGAAATTTTTTTAACCAAATAGCATGAGAGATTGAAAGAAAAGAGAAAAAGCCCCAGGACACACGATGAACCACGATACCACGAATTCATGAGTTTTTGGTTAAGATGTATGTATAACTTGTTCAACTGGGTTTTCTATGTTTCCATAGTAATTTGGAGAAAAATAAATCTAATATCCATAACTCTATAAATTCCAATATTTGGCGAATGAAAATAGTTCATAGTAGGTATTGTTATTCTAGTAAAACTTTTCTTCCCGACAAATATATATATCATTTAGTATATATTTCGTAGCAATTGATCATGTCTTTAGAGCTATTAGAATACTCTAAGTATACAATATAAAAAAAAATGAAAAAGATAATCAGTAAGAGCAAGCACTACGAGAAAAGACGATGTAGTGAAAGACCTAATAAGCATATAAGACTATTCAAAATAAGTTGTATTAATTAGTTGCGATCTTTACACAAATAGTTGGACATATTTATCGTTTGTTTTTCCTAGTCGGTACACATATATTATTCATTAATTATATACAGTTATACATATATTATACATAGATTATATTTACATTATATATTCGCCAAATATTTTTAGTTTAAACGGTTGGGTGTACGATTATTTAGGTTAATTCTTTTAATTAGCTTAAGTTGTTGTTAGTGTAATTGCATTATATTATTAAAATAAATTCCTATAACTCCCACTACTCCATGATGTAGAAATGGTCATAACTCCTATAACTCCCACTACTCCATGAAGTAGAAAATGGTCATAAATCTTTTGTAACTCTTCTCCCATGTTCTACCACTAATTATCCCATGTTCTCCATGATATCATAACTTATTACCCCACTTTCTTCCAATTTAATTCAAGGAAGAATTCCTACACCTATAAATATGAGTTTTTCTTCCATATTATGGTATGAAAAATAATTGTAGAGTGTTTCTATAAAGTGAGATTAAAGTTGTGAAAAAAGAAGAAGAGAGTTTTTTTACTTTTGTTGAAGGAAGGTGTTTGTTGATACCCAATTTTTTCATATAATTTTTTATATGCATAAATACCTTCAAAATAGCATATATATGCATATATAAGCATGCATAAGGTTTTTATTATTTTTTCGATAATTTTAAAGATTTTAAATTGAGTTATTTCCTTCCCTTTTACTCATAAAATCCCCCAATAATTACCCTCAAATTATTGTTGGGGTGATTTAGTCATTCAAATTTCATATTTATTCCAAAATATGGTTAAAATATTTTTGTGCATTTTTTATAATTGTATTTTGTATTTTTAAAGCTAAAATGCATATAATTGCAATACTAGCCTTATTAATATATAATTACGTTTATATACGTAAAATTGATCTCCTATATTTTTAATATGTTAAATATTTATTTTAAATCATTTTAGTACACAAAATTATTTTCTAGAAATAATTTATTATTTATTATAAATTATAAGGGGGGAAATTGGCTATTTAAAATGTAGCCAGATTTGCATTTCAATTTCAGCCTTAATTTAAACCCAACCCCAGCCCAATTTCATATTAAAAACACCCGACCCAAACCCTAAACCCGCCAACCCAACCCAACAACAATTAAATCCTTGCCGCTGATCTAAGAGATCAACGGCCCGTATTAGCCGTCACCATTTTTAATTCCAAACGACCCCTAACCCTAGCCCATTATTCAGAGACCGCCGCCTCTGTATTCTCTCATCTCCTCTCTTCTCTCAACCACTCAACCTAACCCTAGCTCCTTCAACCGCCGACCTCCCTTTCTTCTCCAGTGATCTCCCATCAACTCCTAAGCCTCCAATGGCTCCTCTAATGCTATGTTTGCCTTCTCTAAGGCCTTCAAGGGCTCTGGGCCATGCCGACTTGCATCTAGGGTTTGTCATTTGGCTGTTCTTGGCTACTTCAGTGTGATTTCGATCCTTGGGATTCTAGACAGGCTCTTTCATCTCTACTTGGGTTTCTTCTGAAACCCTAATTTCTGCCTACATCTCCTAGATCTGTACGATTTTAAAAACGATTTGAGTCTGTTTCTTTGATGTTTTACACTATCCTTGGAACTCTATACAAGAATCATCGATTCCAAAGTGTTTTCACCTTCTTCTGAAGTTAGGGTTTTCGGAACTTCTTCTAATAATATCATTTAAACTGATATTTTATGTTTAAACTTCTATTTCTCGCATACTTCGACTGATTCTGTGAGTTTATTACCTCTTCAACTTGCCTATCATGAAAACCCTAATTTTTTTAGGTTTCTTCGTTTGATTTTGTGACTATCCTGTTCTTGTTTGAGATTCTATGGCTATCTCGCTTCGAATGTATTTCTACTGAGTTTCTTATGCCTAACTTATATCACCTCTATGTGCTTATGATCATCTTGACTGTTCAGACTTGCCTCTTTCTATTGAT